TGTGTGCATGGTTCGCAAAATATGAAGATCAACTAATGCTTTGGAGGTGATCAAGTTATCAAATATTATTATTTGTGGGTTATATATTTATGCATAGCTTGATTTATTAGGCCCTTGAATTTGATTAAAATCCCGAGCCCCACATCAAAGGAAGTTAACCTCAGATAGAATGCAAGGCAAATCATTCAAAGAAGCAATCTTTTTCACTGATAGCATTTGGGCAATAAACATTCTTCACACAATAAGATGTTTGTCCAAAACCAAAGAAGATAACAAAAAAAGATCGAAAGGGGATCTCAAAAACGACATTGACCACCAAAGGGTACCATGCAGTTAGTTTCCACCAGACATATAAGAAGAAACTGAAAACCACCAGACATATACGAAGAAATCAACTAGGGTGCGGCTCAAAAAACTCCTAATGATAGACACGTCAAGGGAAATCTTCGATTCTTGAAGGAGTAAAATATGTAACTTATGCTTCTCTTATCAACCACCTCAACACTCTTATTTTTCTCTGATCCCTTAGCCCATTAATTTTCCATGAGCATATCTTCATTTCGACTAGAAATCTTTCCATCCCTAATGGCCCCCGAAGAGCCTGCAGAAAGTAAGTGGGTCAAAGGGGGATCCACTTCAAGACATTGCCCAACTCTCCTCCTCCATGGGGCTAACTGCCATTTGATCTCAGCTTGGCCAATGGCCTCCTCAATCACTTCTATACAACCAGTGAACTCCACTTACTTTGCTCTCTGCATGTCTCCTGCCTTTCGGTTCACCTGCATTTTTCTCTGTGGCTTTGTCTGTCCAGTTCTTAGATTGGGGAGAGAGAGAGATCATCAGCCAACGAGTCTGAGGACTCGGTAATGTAACGAGGATAGGTTGACAAGGCATCTAGCCATTAACAAAGCTCTAGGCAAGTGCTCATCTGTGGCGTCCATGGTGGGGATCTTGATAGTCATGTTGCCCCCAATTAACATCATTTTCCCGTTGAGAAAAGTTTCTTTTTAACGGTCCCCTCTGGTACCTGGTGAAGGCTAGCAAGGTGGTAAGTACTGGGTTGCTTCTCAACATCCAAAAGGGTCAGCCATGGGTGTGGTAGGAAAGGTATGGGCTCTGATTACGGCAGCACCAGAAAGGAAAACCCAAAACAAAGCATGGATTGTCTTTCTCTAGTAACCACTACTTACATATGTATCTCTCTCCTTCCCTTTTGATAAAGACGAACTTTTTTTTCTTGGAAAAGATAAAAGGGACAAAAGGTGTACCTTTCTATAGAACAACATGACCATTTTCTTCTCCTTCCTCTGTTACAAAGTCGCTGCCTTTCAATCATCCATCATCGTCGGTGTACTTTCACCAGATCGAATAATGGAAATGTGCTCAAGTTCCATCACCATTGGATCCTCTAATTGAACGGTCTGGGATTGCACCTCTTAATGATCTTATGCCTTCAATCATAGTCTCCCTTTTGGGAATTTTTTACTGGCCTGCGTAAAAGCTCAACTTCCTTGGTTTTTGGCAATTACTTGCCATTGCTTTTCTTTGGGGTGTTGTCCCTCAACTGGGTCCATCATTTGTTTGCCAGCCAATATCCTTTGCTTCCACTGAAGCAGACGACCCATTAAAAGACTGAATCACAGTGGGGTGGGTATTCTCAATCGTAATAGAAACTCTTAAATATTCCCCTAGGACTTTAAGAATCAAGTGCTCTACTACCTTTCTATGTGGGGGAACCTACACCTTGATTCTAAGAACCCCGAAGGGTAGACCGAAATGAACCAGTCAACATCTAGTAGTTTTCTACATTCTTGAGCTACAAGAAAAAACACCTCCTTCATCCAAGCATGAATTGGAATCCCCTCCACCTGAAGCCAAATAGTAGGCAATTGTAAAAAGGAAGGATTAGAGCGAGAAGACCACCATTCCAGAGGCATCAGAACTACATTGAACCTCCGAAACCGATGCTTGTAGGCCCTCCTAGCTTCATCTTCCTTGTCAAAAATCATGAGAACACTATACGTCGGGGTAGTTCGGCAAGCTAGTGGATAACCCCACGATTTGGCAGCCTTGTCTTGAAGCATACTCAAGTCCTTAATAGGAGGATTGAAAGAGCATACAATTGTAGTTTTCGACATGGCTCAGTACAACTGTCCTCAAGCTCAATAAGTTTGACATTGTCCTGAGTCTGCTGTGTCTTGATTCTTTGGATGTGATCTTCAACCTTACCACCTGTGACAACATCTACAAAGGAGTGTTCTTCAAGGCTCCTAGGCACCCAAGGTGGTCCCTCTGCTTCACAGACACCATTGAACCTCTACTGCTGCCCCCCTCCATGATGCAGAGACTTACCAATGGTACTTTATTTTTCACTCCACTGATTATCCTGGCTTCTTGTCGTTCCCCATAATAGTGAGGCCTACCATATCCGAATCCATTTCCATTCCTCCATTCTCTAGCCACCTCCTCTTCTATGACTTCCACCTAGTGATTGGGAAGGCCCAAAACGACCCATCTCTCTCTCTCTTGGTATTCATCTGTTGGAACATTGAGACCTTAAAGAGGCAGGGGTTAGAAAAGAGAGCTATAGTGTACAGTGTTCTAATCTGTCTCTCTTAATACCTATAATTCCTTATCCCTCTTTACAAATTTCAGAGGTACTTTAGTCACAAGGGAGCACCCAAAGAGCCTTGCAAGTTTACCCTGGGAGAAGACATTTTTGAGCCTCATCGCCTGCACCATTCACTGATTTATTTCTTTAACCAAAAAAAATCCTTTGAAGTGCTTTCTCTGCAGAGTTTTAACCAAAGATTGGTTGATTTTTAGCAAGCTTTTCTTGTGGCTATGCATTCATTTTCATTCTCTTTTGGTGGCTAATATAGTGGTGAGAAAGTTCCTTTCTTTCCCCTCTTTATTTACATGTTATCAATAGAGGTTTAGGGGAAAACACTCTTTAACGAAAAATTATAATTTTGGGGCACACTGTTGTAGTTTGGAGAGCCCATTTGGTTGATATTTACATACCTATTGGCTATTGTTAGGTGTATAGCAGAAAATGTATGTCATGTATTTGATGAAATTTCTAAGTGGTTCTAATTAGATTGACCTCTAGCCATATTTTGGCTTGCTCAAATTTTTGTTTAGTAGCATTTCCACATTGATCCTAACACACATAATATTTATAACATAATATCTAAAATTCAAAGTATTTCTTTCTTTATAAAATCATGATATTTAAACTCATTAAGTTCCACATAATGTCACATTTGATTTAGATTTTATATGCATAAAAAAAATCAAAACAATTCTACCGCTCACATGTTTCTAAATTTTAATATTTGTCTGATGAGGCATCTCAACTGCTTCTTACAAAAATTTATAATCAGCTTTGACCTAAGTCATGATTACTTTTTCTTTTTATCTCTTTGTATTATTAAGTGACCCTATTCTTGTTGACCTGTTCAACCCCCATGTGAAATATGCCCTTTATTAACAAATAAAACTGCTTATTTTCTGACACATTTAGGATTAGGATTATGAAAAGAAGTAAAGAGAACACCTCAACTGCCAATATGTTACCAGAGATGTAAATTTTATATGAAAATTGGGGGGGTTGGGAACACTTTTGGCTGCCGACTTGGTGCAAACCACAAGAACACCACCCCTAGTTGAGTAACTCATACTCTCAGTCGTTGAATCCTGCTTCATTTTGTGCAAATTAAGAAAACAAGTCATAGACTACACATGAGATACCATGACTCAATGGATTACAATGCGCCTCTTATTTGTAACATGGTACTTCTACTAATGCATAAGTTCCACAAAAAGTTCGTCCCATAGTTAAGAGGACCTCCCAACATAGGTGGCGATCCGGTTTAGGATTCTCATTCCGGCACTTCAGAAAAGAGATCTACAAGGGATTTAGATTTTTAAAATTATGGGATCCCGATCCCCACTATTAAGGATCCTAATTCCTACTGTTTGGGATCTCACACCAAAACTTAAAGACCAAAAGAACAACTAAATTGATTATTGTATTTTTTATAGCAAGCTAGCAACACAACTATATTTTGAATTTAGTAACATTACTTGCTGGCTATAGATAAAGAGATCCCTGCTTTAAGAATTATATATTTCCCGAAACTATATATACTCTTTAGGGTTGGGGAGCAAGATCCCTTAAAGTTTGGGATCTTTGGGATCAAGCTCCCTACCATATGCATTGTAAGGAAGGAACTCCCATTTATAAAAATGTTCTAGGATTTTAGGATTCCCCTCTCCCAATCTCAACAACTATGGTCTGTCAATCTCAAGAATACAAAAAAGATTCATGAGCATATCAACCAACATCATATAACTACAGCTTGCCATTTCTGTTACTGTGAAGCCAAAAAAGTCTACTTGATTTTTTTACTCTAGAAGGCAGAATAACAAGAAGAAATTTTCAAAAACCACTTAAGAGTGAGTACATATCGCCTTATTGTGAAAATGTACATGCAGCAAAGGACAAGGATAGCCCACAAAGAAAGAGATTTCTTTTTTCTTTTTTTCTTTTTTGCCTTCTCTTTCTCATTTGAAACTGTTTCCAGTCTAGAACGTGTAAAGCAAATCGCACTTTTCCAATATAGCCCATGGCATAAAAGCAACAAATGAACAGAGCTTAATGGTATCATCACATGGGAAAAAACAAGAATCAATAAATATCCTGGTTTTGAACAGAATCAAAATGAATAGTACTTATATGTACCAAAGGACCAAACCTATACAGGAATTGAATTTTGTATCCAAATAAGTTTATAGAATCCATGTCTAACAAGAGGGATGTGCTACACTTTGCAACTGTCTTCATCTCTCAGCCGATTCAAAAACACGTCAGGCATTTCCTCAATATCTAAAGCTTGAAGGGATCTCAGGTATTGAAATCCTTTGGGTAAAGCCCTCAACTTCCGGCAATCACTTATGGTTAATTCACGTAGGTATGGCATGGCACCCTCCTCCACTTTCCTCCATGTTTCCACTTCTTTTAAACGAGAGAGAAGGAGAAATTGAAGCTTAGGAAAGCCCATTGCACTGCATTTTCCTATTTGCTTACCTGTGTGTGCACCAGAAAGAGAGAGATGCATGACATTGGGCAAGTTTGAAGGATAACAAATGGATCTTCCTTTAGCCAGGAACCATTCAATCCCAGCACAGTGAGGGACGAAAGAGAAGAATTAATACAACTTGGTAGCTTCTTTAACAGCCCATGAAGACGCAGTTTTTGAAGAGCTGTTTGGGGTGGCGATAATAATGTGCTCATTTCTTGGAGAGTGCAACAATAACCAGGGGTGAATACGTATAAGGAAAGGAGTGAAGCATCCTTTGGATTGATCTGCACAATGCTCTCCCATCTTCACTCTTTTCAATTCTAATTACTAATGTTTGAAATTGGGTCAAGTTGACCAGGTATCCAATGAACTTTGAATCAGCCCATACACCTTTCAATTTCTGGAGGCTCATTAAGTCCCCCATTTTATTGGGAACTTTTAAGCTTGTATGCGATACACTCAAACACCTCAAACTTTGCGTCTTTGAAAACCCACTTGGTAAAGATCCTTCGAGATATGTGATTTGTAGAGTTTGTAGGCTACTTAATTTTTCCAGAGACCTTGGAACCTGCTCCACTGTATTTAATGTGATGTACCTAAGATGAATGAGGTGCCCCACTGCTTCTGGTAGGGATTTGACACTTATGCCATGAAGGTCTAACACCCTCAAAAATCTTGAGCTAGATAACAGGCGATGCATAAATGACCGGGGTACTGAACCATCATAGATATTGAAGGAGGTAGTGTCCTAAGATGAGACATTTTTTAATCTCTACGAAAACCTGAAAGATTGTCCTTGACAGAGACACGCTGAGTATCCATCTCAAACTTTTGCATATGCCCATCATTGAATACCCCAAAATTCTCTCTTTTTGATAAAAAAATGCTAAGTGTGCGCACTACGCCATGCACCCGACATGCTTTGACTTGCCCACTTTTACCAATTTTAGCCACATGAATCAAATTCCGATCAAGCAGCTCTTTAAAGTAGTCCTCTGCTACCTCCTTGTCTGTGATTCCTTCCCTTCTTTCTATAAACCCCTCAGCAATCCATGCCCTAAGAAGTTTCGAACGGGGAATAACGTAATCTTCCGGAAATAAGCAACAATATAAGAAACAGTACTTTAGAAGAGCTGGCAAATCCTTGTAACTTAGTGATAAAACACCCTCACCACTTCAAAATTTGACCAATTGTTCAACTCCCACTTTAGACTACGGCGAACCTTTGCCCATTCAATTTGTGTTTTCATCTTTTTGGATACCATACCCCCGATAGCCACAATCGCGAGCGGTAGACCACCACATTCCTTAACTATGAGACTTGCTTTCTCCTCTAATTCTTGAGGACATGCATTCCCAAATTCCTTCCAGAATGCGTTCTTGCAAAAGAGGGACCATGCATCTTCTTTTGAAAGAAAATTAAGGGTATAAACATGGCATCTTACATGCACCGGTGAAGCTACTTCTCCAATGCGAGTCGTGAATATTAATCGACTCCCATTCCCTGAATTAGGGAAAGAAGTGCAGATCCCTGTCCACACATCTTCACTCCACACATCGTCCAAAACCACGAGAAATCTCTTATCTTGTAAATACCCTTGGAGCTTTTCTCGCAGAGCACTAACATCCATGTCCTCTAGAAATTTTGGTATCTTTCTATCATTAGCACCTGGAAATCCCAGTAGATGCTAGTTAAAATTCTTTTGATTGTGAATGATTGTGACACAGTGACCCAAGCACAACATTCAAAATTCCTTGACATTGTGCCTACCATATATTGTTTCTGCAATAGTAGTCTTCCCTAACCTACCCATGCCAACAATGGAGATTACCTTTAGTTGTGGCTCTCCATCCAGTAACCATCGCTCAACAAATTCTACTTTACCCTTGATTCCAATGATATGCGCTTCCCCGGCCGTAAAGGGAAGGAATTGTGGATACGCCTTTCTTGTATCCATGGCATTTGAGGAACTCGCTTCGTCTTCCCTTCTAATGCCAAGCCTCTCCCTTCTCTCGGCAATCTCACGAGCACGCACTCTAAAATATTGCATCTCAATTGCAGCTTGATGCCGAATTATCAGCTCCTTAATGAGGCAAATAAGTAAGACCAGATTGTATCAGCATAATTTAGGAATGCTTTCATGCTTTGGAGCTCCTCTCTGATCCATCTAACATCACCTTGCACACCCAAACGAAGTGTCACTTCATCCTTGAGCATTTCGCCCAGTTTTCTCAGCAAAAACGTTACAATAGGATCAGCCATCTCTCTATCCGTCTCTCTCAATTATTTGTTGTTTGGCCTGAGAGCTTCTTATGTCCTCCACCTTTCTGCCCCACAGTGGCGGCAATGCTGAATTATATCAGTAAGGAAAATTAGGTAGATAGAAAATTTAATGACCCTTGAAAAACTAGCACTTCACCCAATTTTGTTGCTTGGACCAATCAATTAAGTACACAGCTTCCACTTCACAATTTTCTTTTGATTGTCTATGTTTTCCATTTATATTTTCTATAGGTATGACCAGTTCAACAGGTGCTACCTGCACATATATTTAAGCAACAATTAACCTCTTAAAAGATTACTGCCTACACTTAAGCACCAATTTGGTAGACAGTCATTGACTTTCATTCTTAATGCCTAATAGAATATTAAAAGTCAATGAATGTCGGTGGTGACATCTTTTACAAGTGAAATTGGTTTTTTTTTTTTTTCATTAATGGAGTTGACTATGAAATTGGGTAGGGATGGCAATGGGCAGGGTGGCCCAACCAGGCCCAGGGCATGAGCCACAAAATGTGGCCCAAAGGCCGGCCATGGGCCAAGTCAAGACAGTCCGGCCCAGCCCAGTTTGGCCCATCCCGGGCCTTATTTCCTTATCCTTTTTCCCTTATTTTTCTTAAATTTTACCCGGCCCAGCCCCATGTGGCGATGTCGCCTAATTTTGGTTGATAAACATTATTAAGTCAGTGAAAATCCGAATATTCCAGGACAATCTGAAAAATTCAACATTCTTGACTAAATATGAACCCTTGGATTATTTAACTGGATCAATTTTCAAACATACCCCTATCTCAACCTAATAATAGCCCCTCTAAAATCCCAGGAAAATGCACTAAAAACACAAGAAAAACACACCAAACATACTAAAAAGTACGCCATAGGAAAAATATCTAAAAATTAGTAGATAAATCACAGAAAATTCATAAAATAGGAAAAACCCTTAGATAAATCCTATAAATTTATAAAAAATTAGGAAAATTCCCCAAAAATATTAGAAAATTCTAAAAATTTGTATTAGACATTAGGAGATCCAAATTCCTTAGAAAATTAGGGAAAAGCATCTCCACACCTTAGGAAAATTTAAAAAAATCCCTACCTATGACCCTTAGCCCCTTTAAAAGCCTTAGGAACCCTAGATCTTGGTAAAAGAACCCTAGATCCAGTAAATTCCATCAAGCAAAAGGCATCTAAAAAGGAGACGGTAGCATGAGAAAAGCAGCCGAATCAGAGCCGAAAACTCTGGGTTATGGGCCCCTAAGGTAAGCAACTCCTCCTTTTCTCTTTTAAATTAGTTAATTTCTTTTATACTTCATGTATTTCTTTATAATTTATTTATCTTAGACTTAGTAAAATTTTAGAAGCATTTAAAGGCTTATACACAGATTCTAAAGCTAGAGCTGCCAGTAGTTTCAAAAGGAGACCAGATCCGTATAGATCTGTGATGTTTTTGAAGCTATAATTTGAGCAACCTCACTATCTCTATTATTCTATAAGTTTAAAGCATAAACAGGAGGAAGAAGATAAGAATCAACTACTTCCAGGTACGTAAGTGACCGCCATGCCACATTGGCCAAATTCCTGTTGAGAATGGCTGAGCTACTAAGTATGTGGAGCATACTACTTAGCCGAGTGAAAATATAGTGATCAAAGGATGCTTTTATGTAGTCTTACCGTTGACAAATAAATTGAGAAAGGCAAGGATATGAAATTCCTTTCTTTATTGGGATGAACATGGTTACAGTGAGTCATTTAGTAGCTACCATACTATAATCAAACGAATTCTACCTCATCTTGGAGATGATATGAAGATGGAAACGGTAAAATACAGCTCGAGTTTGTCAACTTGAAAGAACTCCTCCCTTCCTTGGATGGAATTGGAATAGAACTCGAGGTCTATCAACAAAGGATGATTAGATAGTTGGCAGACGAGACTCTCTTATCTATATCCAGCTACCCCCCTTCAGTTAACACTTAAAACAATCTAGAGGAAGCTCACAACAAAGTTGGGATTGATAAATTGAATCCCACACATATCAAAGGAAACCATAACTTCTCTTTGCAACTAGCACACAGGGAGAATGGTAGGAATACATAGTTACAAACCATCATCCATGTAAGAATGAAACCAGAAGGAAAGCAATTCTTACTTGTTCATTGGGCTTTGAATGCAGTCTAGGACTTCTAGGAGGTGCATATGAAATAAGACTTTCGGAATTTCCTCTTTCTTTGCCTTAGCCTCAAAAAACTTTCCATCAATATATTTATGTATATTAAATAGAGTGAATTCCAGTGACCAGACACGGATGAATCAAAGTAAGTCTTGAACTGGAGCCCCAGAACTCCCATGCCTTTCTTGGTTAGACCAACTTGACTTTCACTCTTTGGCTTGCTCAGTGCTTATGCTCTGGCTGACAAGAACAATTCTCTCTATTTTTTTAGGAGCAAAGCAATCAAAGAATGAACCAAAGCAAATGATTTTTCTAGAATGGCTATTCCTAACAATCACTCCTTGCGATGCTATGGAACCATGACAATTAGGATCTCAAGACACAGCTACACCTATGATACAACAATAATTGACTTACATCACCATATCTTTTTCTTCTTAATTCTTATTTTGGTTTTCGTATCATGGATGTTGATTCTCATTTTATGGCATTTCCACTACCAAAAAAATCCAATCCCGGCAAGGATTGTTCATGGAACTACTATAGATTTTATTCTAACCATATTTCTCAGTATCATCCCGATGTTCATTGCTATACCACCATTTACTGCTTTATGCTCAATGGATGAGGTAGTAGTAGATCCAGCCATTACTATCGAAGCAATTGGACATCATGGTATCAGAGTGCGCCCCTTCACAAGGGTGACAAAAGTGCAAAGAAATATACTAGTGGTTCATGAAGCATCTGGCTTACTGGTAACTTCCCGTTCCAGTCTTTGAAAGACTAAAAAGACTATACCATGACAGAAATGGGGAGTTGAATTGGTTAGACTTATACCCCGAAATTTTCCTAGTATAGGTCACATCACTCGCTCCTAATTCTAGATTTTGGGCAAGAGCAAAATAGGCTCTTTACTATTTTGTTTGTTTTGACATTGCGCTAATGACTGAACTTGTTGGGGCTTTGCTCATTACCTATGGTTCCATTTTTGTTGTTGATGGAGGTACATGTCCCTCTTTGTCGCAATATATGAGAAATGTATGCTCCGCCTGCAATGTCCGATAACGGCAATGAAGTAATAAATATATCGATACCGCAGCAGTGGCACCAAAGTTTGGATCTACTGGGCCGGACCCATAACCTTTCAGATCCCCGTTGGCCACAACCACAGCAGTAGTTGCAGAACAATTAGGAAGGGAGAGGACAACCAGTTCTTCCTGCTCGTGTTTCTTCGTTTAGAAGACATAGGTCTTACGATAGGTAACAACAGGCACAAGCACTTGACTGAAAGGTTTCAATTGCAAATCATAATTTCAAAAAATAAAAAAATTAAAGTAAGTTTGGTAGTAAGGACAATATAACTGCATTCCTGCATTTGAAAATTCACAATAATAAATTTAAAATTCGTCATAATATTATTTAGAAAGTTTATAAATAAAAAAGGAGAAGCTAAAAACATGGTAGGCTTGTTTCCTTATAAAATCTGCAATCTTTATAATTTCCTTATAAAACATTAATAATCTTATAGATGTTTTTAATGATCACAATAACATATGCAAATTGATTCTCTCCAAGGAAATTTTGAAATTTTTCTAATAAAGAGAAAATGAACAATTATAATTCTATAAAAATATAAATAAACACATTTTTATTGTTGAAAATGCAACTTTTTTATTTTTTTGGTAAATAGGGCATGTTTATTTTAAGGCATTGAAAAATTAGAAAGAATATTTATAGTATTTGAGACAACATTGATTGTATGTAATTTTTTAGGGTATAAACAAAAAGAAAAGTATACAAAGAGACCATATACTTTTAGTATAAGGAGGTCATAATTACTTTTGTTCGTAAGATTTTAAATCGTGTGGCTATAATCTACACTCAAAAATCGAAAAAAAAAAAAATTATTGAACTTGGTGACAAACCCCAATCAATCAAATTTGACATGGCTAGGAGTGTTTGGGACCTCCATGTAACGATGGTAAATGACATCATAAGATATAATCCCGCAGGAAAAAGGAAAGTTATTCAAGCAACTAAAATACAAAGGAAGAAAAGATCCACTCCAAATAAATATCTGTTGAAAAATGAGCGCAATTTTTATGAAGTATTTTAAAATTATTAAAATAAAATAAAATTTAGTCACAATTATTTCTAATGATTCTTATTGTAATACTTTTAAGGGGAAGGGAAAATGAGTCTTCAATGAAATTTGGAATTACTTAAAGATCAAAATAGAAAAAAATCACCCAATTCTCAAAAGTAATATCTGTTGAAGTTCCAATAACAGAAATAGAGAAGAAAAATAAATAAATCAACACATTATATACGTGGTTTGGCAATGGTGCCTCCATCCACAGAGGGTAATCAGAATCTCATTTATAGAGATTACTCAGGTTTACCAGAGATTTATAGAATTAACTCTTTCTTTTTAGGAAACAAATCCCATAACAATTGTAATATCACAAAATAAGAAACTAAATATAAGAAACTTAATATCTTATAATATACAAGATAGGAAACTCAATATATGATTTCTATAGTTGTCAACACTCCCCCTCAAGTTGGTGAGTAGATATCAATAGAGCCCAACTTGGACAGTATCTGATGAAACTTTGCCTTTACAATAGCTTTCGTAACATATCTGCAAGTTGGTCTTCACTTCGAACATAAGGAGTACTAATAATTTTTTACTGAATTTTTTCTCTCACAAAGTGACAATCAACTTCTATGTGATTGGTTCTTTAATAAAAACTTGATTGGACGCTATAGGCATAGTTGCTTGATTATCACATAACATCTCCATTGGATTGACCGTTGGGAGCACATATCTCAAAGTAGGTATATTAACTACATCAATTCACTTGTAGTTGAAGTCATAGCTCTATATTTGACCTCTGCACTGGATCGAACAATCACATTTTGTTTCTTGCTTCTCCAAGTACTAAGTTTCCTCCGACCAATGTACAATAGCCGGTAGTTGACCTCCTGTCAATTGGACTACCTGCCTAGTTAGTATCAGAATAACCAATAATATTAATATGACCATTTGGTTTCAACCAAACACGTTTGCCAGGTGACGACTTAAGATATCTGATAATCATATTGACAGACTCCATATGACATGATCTAAAAGCATGTATAAATTGGCTCACAAGACTAACCGCATATATTATATCTGGTCATGTCACAGTCAAATAAATCAATCTGCCCATAAGTCTCTGAAAGCGGCCCATATCTTCAAGAGGTTTTTCATTGTTGAATTAAGTTTGCAATTAATATCAACAGGAGTGTTAACGGGTTTGACACCCAGTTTCTTAATTTCTTTCAACAAATCTAATACATATTTCTTTTGAGAAATGAAGTATCCCTTTTTTTAATGTGCTACTTCAATGCCGAGAAAATACTTTAGTTGACCAAAATCTTTGATATCAAATTTAAGTTTCATGATGCTTTTTTTATCATTACCTGTAATGATAATATTGTCAACATAAATTAGCACAATTGTTGTACCTGAAATTCCTCTTTTTGTGAACATCAAAGAATCAACTGAACTTATAAGAAACTCGACACTCATCAAGGTTGTGCTGAGTTTGGCATACCATGCACGAGGTGATTATTTAAGTCCATGCAAAGTCTTCTTTAATTTGCATATAAGGCTTTTCTCATTTTCTTTAGAAGGGCCTGAAGGAAAATTCATATAGACTTTTTCTT